GTAGAATGATTTTAGTCAGAAACCTCAACACTGAACTGAAAGTATCTTTTAGTTCAAAAGGAAATAAACGAAGAGAGTGGGGCAAAATGCGTGTGCACAGATCCAGGCAGATCATCTGGTTAAGCATGGGGGATTGAACCTGAAAAGATTTATGGGACCCTGAGCAATTTGCTTTATGCTGGTAATAATTGCAACATCACTTATTCTCTACTTCGCTTATTAACTTTCTCTGCATCACCGCTCTTTTTGAGTTCATCTATCTTAATGAAATATCCATCTTCTGTCTTTCTTTCTTGCTTTACATTTTAGGCCTTATAAAGGATTGAAACTAGTTTTCCCAGTTGGACACGTTCACTAGCCAGAGGCCAACTTTGCTTCCAAGTCAGACTCAATGCAATTTTCCCCATTAGGCATGTGCTTCATTGTCTACATGAGAGTAATAAAACTTATCAGCTAGCTCAATCAAACATATCAGCTGGAAACATCTTCTTGCTGTGAATGAACAGACCAGTTTTTTAAAAAAATGGTTTACTTGGACTGTGTTGTTAGAACATTCTGGATCTGTTATTTGAACATTAGACACATTCTCTATGTCTGAAGTTTTGTGCATTTCTAAAGTCTAACTAGTGCTGCATTTTATAGATGGAAGTATATCTTATTTCTCTTTAGAACTAGCTAAGGAAGATAGAATTGGAGGTATGAGTTTTAGATGAATTTAGAAAATTATAGAAATAAATATTTTATTCTGTCTGTAACCAATTTGAACAATGATTAAGCTTTCATTCTCTTTCTCATCCTAAGGGAATGTATTTATGAAGCCTTTTTCATTCATCTAAGATGCTCCCCAAATCCTGAATGGGAAAGATTAAGGTATGGGTAATATAATGAGCAAGTGTGAGGTGGAAATAGGTGAGGAAGTAAGAAGCCGGAGTTTAGACAACACACACATCCCTGCATGTATACATGGCTGTAAACCTGCTGTTTATTTATTTATTTATTTTGCCATTTTATAACCCCTGTTTGTTCCAGGCCCTGCAGATAGTGTGTCTGTGAGTGGTTAAGGTGGTTTATGTGTGAGAAGACTGGTTCAGGAAGAAGTTTATGTTACTTTCACATAAGATGCTTTATTTGTTATGAATTTTAGATTGTGACGGGTAGAAACCAGCCAAGATTCATTTTTTTCTGGGATTACAAAATTACTTTCCTACAACAGTAATAATTACTTTTAGTCACTGGAAAGCTACTTTCTCTGACGAATATCATAAGTCTTTCAGAAATAAACACATATTGTCCAAAACTTGGGGGATCCTTAAAAACATTTTTTGTTTCATTTTTTAGAGTCAGAATCTCTCTCTGTCACCAAGGCTGGAATGTGGTGGCATGATTAAGATTCACTGCATCCTCAACCTCTGGGCTCAAGCAATCGTCCCATCTCAGCATCCCAAGTAGCTAGGACTATAGGCTTGCACCATCACGCTGGGCTAATCTTTTTTTCCTTTTTTTTTTTTTTTTGGTAGAGACAAGGTCTCATTATATTGCCAAATATCAAACTCTGGGATCAAGCAGTCCTCCAGCCTCAGCCTCCCAAAGTGATGAGATTTAAAGACATATTGAATTGAATTTAAAAGTTTGCCTCTAATCATATCTGGATATATTATGCGAAAGTGCTCAAAAGCAAGTTTATATGCCACCTTTCCATTTTGATAAAGAAATGACATTTTATCAAAGAACATTTAGTATTGTTTAGATCAAAGTCAGCAAATAAGTCTTTTTCTTGACACAAAAGAGGCTTTAGTTCTTTGTAAATTTACAATGACTCATTAAACATCAATTTGACATTAAAACAAAATCAATAAATTGAAAACTAGTTTAAGAAGAAAATAAGAAACCAGGACGGATGCAGCAGACTTGTATTTAATGCAATGGGAGCTCCCACACATAATCTTACCTCACTTCATTCGAGCGTACCTGAGGAATGCAGCTTTAGCTGTCAGTTCAATGAACAGATAAATTTGCTATAAACAGTGTTTATAATCAACACTGTTTATCATCTATAATAAAAGCAGCATAGACTTCTTAGCTGAGCTTTCTGTAAACACGGGCATTTTTAATAAGTGATAAATTTTTCTTTCCTCACTTCCTCTATATGTCTCTATCATCTATCTATCTTATCTATCTATCTGCCTATCTTCTATAGGTAACATATTTCAAAATTAATATATTAAACAGAAATACAGAAAGACACATGTGTGTATACATGGAATGTAGGTGTACTTAAGAGGGATATTTAATTTCTCTACAAATAATATTCTTGTTAATTCAATTGATGTTTTATCATGCCAACCACATAATCTA